GCACAATAAAAGACCAACATAACTTAAACTTTAATATGCAAAAGACAAAAACATCAATATATAAGTTAGAGAGGAACGTGCAAAACATCAAAATCCCCAAAAGTTCTCTCAGCCAAAAGTTCTCTCATTCAATAATACCGCCTGTGAGTGATTTCACAATAAGTAGAAGAAAGGAATTTTCCAGAAGTAGGTCAGAGGAATTTTGTAGAAGTATTTGATGACATTAAAGTTGCATAAATATTTCGAGTGATCGCCAATGATCACAGCTTTACTTTTATGTTTGCATTTTGATTAATGTATAATTGTCGCTAGTCAATTAATTTCAAGTCTATTCATTGATTTGCAACACTATGATAGAAAATAAATGTAAAAGATCGTCCCAATAGTTTTATCATTCAGAAATCACCTTGTCAGAAAGCAATAATATTATAAGTAATCGAGTAAAAAATTTTTGAGAATTAATTGGAAAGGGCGTTAAAATTCGGCAAATTCTTTTCGTTTCTCAAAACTGCAGAATATTGAAGATTTGAATAATCGACTAATTCCTTTTGCTCTATTGAAACCATTGCAATAGATAGGCTAATATTGTTATTACATTAATTTCACCAAAATTTGAGTACTAGGAAATCTTAAATCATAAAAAAAAGGTGAAAAAATTGAAAAAAAGCTATGTAGGAGTACACAAAGCAATTTTCGCTTTTTTTTTTCTTTTTTTGAGTGAAGTTTTGATTAAAAATTTCTGGAAGATATTTGCATTGCACTGAGAATAATTCAGCAATTATTGCTTTCGTTTTCTCTGCTCTATAAGGTGAAAATTCACTGCAACGCGTTTATATGTTCGACAGAATAAGTTGATTAGGACAGAGTAAAAAAAATAAATTTGCTAAAATGATGTGTTAAATATTCACACAGATTTAAAGATAAGATAAGAAAACATCTCTTTAAAATTGGTAAAAAATGTGAGCCACATCAATGAGGGCAATGGTGAAAAAGCTTCCCATGCTATCGCCATGCGATGATATACGGAAATATTGGTGGAAACAGAACGCAGACAGTAAGATTTAGACGGTGAATGTAGACGGGTCTGTTATGATAATGAGAACAAAGAAAAAGAGAACGGTTCTTGCTATTCTCTACAAAATGCATAGGATTTGGGTACATTTATTTTATATGCGTTTATTTTACAATATTTATAAAACTAGAAGATTAGTTTTTTTTTTTTTTACAATAATTAATAAAGTTAAAAAAATTTAGCATTTTGTCTTATTGCTGTTTTTATTAAATATGATTGATCATAATTCTTCCATTTTGATAATCAAAAGATACAGGTAAAAACTATAAAATGTTAAAGAAATGACATGATTTATGCATTTTCAACATGTTTTTAAAAGTGAAATGAGCTCTTGTTGGTTTAATTTGAAAATATTTCATCTATGTTACTCTTATGTGGCATTTAAATCGTACGTACATAAACATTTTTTGCTAAATTAATTTGAATTATGATTTAAATTAAATTGATTTAAATTTCATTTAATTATGAAGTAGTGACAGGATCAAAAAATCCCATTTATAGATCATTTATTAGAAATTAGAAATTAATTACAACATTTACAAAGCATTTACGAGCCACGTGCAAACCGTTTGCAAACGTGCTTCGTTTCACGTATTAAAAAAAAAAAGAAACTTTTCTATGCTAATAATGTTTCAGTGTTAAGGTTAAAAAACATATCTCAAAAAGGTATGGAAAATTTTTACAGATATTTTTAAGTGTTATCCAGATTCTTTTCCAGAAGGAATGTTTTTCATACAAAGTAAGATGAAAAAATCTGTGAAAAAAAAAAGCAGAAATTTTTGAAAATAAAGGCAAAGCAATTTTCGTTTTTTTTTTTTTTCTTTGAATGAAGTTTGACTAAACATTTTTGAAAGATATCTGCATTGCATTAAGTCAGCAAATTATTGAAATTAATTAGCAATTATTACTTCTGTTTTCTCTACTTTGTAAGGTGATTAATTCACATTATTTATGATTTTAATTTCATATTATTTATGATTTTAAGTTCATATTATTTACGATTTTGAGTCCGTATTATAATTTTAATTTCATATTATTTATGATTTTAAGTTCATATTATTTACGATTTTGAGTCCGTATTATAATTTTAATTTCATATTATTTATGATTTTAAGTTCATATTATTTACGATTTTGAGTCCGTATTATAATTTTAATTTCATATTATTTATGATTTTAAGTTCATATTATTTACGATTTTGAGTCCGTATTATAATTTTAATTTCATATTATTTATGATTTTAAGTTCATATTATTTACGATTTTGAGTCCGTATTATAATTTTAATTTCATATTATTTATGATTTTAAGTTCATATTATTTACGATTTTGAGTCCGTATTATAATTTTAATTTCATATTATTTATGATTTTAAGTTCATATTATTTACAATTTTGAGTCCGTATTATAATTTTAAGTTCATATTATTTATAATTTTAAGTTCATATTATTTATGATTTTAAGTTCAAATTATTTATGATTTTAAGTTCATATTATTTATAATTTTAAGTTCATATTATTTGTGGTTTCTTCTCAGTGTTAACTGAACAAAGACTTTTATCGTTGAAATTACTGTTAATTCATATTATTGCTAGCCCCCTTAACTTTTTTTATAATTTCATAATTTACGATAATAAAAAAGTTGCTATTAATTTTTAATATTATTAAAGAAAAAAAAAAAGGAAGCTTAAAGATTAGCTAAAGAAATGATTAAAAACGGATGAATTTCTTACTTTCTTTTGAATTAAGCTTTTAAATTTTAATAATTAAACAAATATTATCAAATTCTTTCATTTATTTGCTATAATCATTTCTATTTTATTGACTATTTCAGTAATCGATGTTTTATTATTAACTTTTTTGGGTAGTTTAAAAAAAAAAAATCAAATTGATAATGTTATACTATATTTTTCCTTTTCTTTTCTATTGAACATTATAACAAGTATATTCAATTGTTTCTTTTAAATTTTCAACGTTTTATTAGCTTCAAAAAGAGAAAAAAAAAAGGAATGAAAATAGTCTCACATAATTAATTACATATTTATATTTACACCATTAACAAAATTGAATTTAAAATTTATTACATTTCATTCATTTATTTTTTTCAACATTATTAGTTAAAAAGGGTTGGGTGGTAGTTTAGGCATTTGGTGAAATGCGTAGGAGCGCAAATGGTTAAACAATGTATGTCGAAGGTTCGAGTTCGCATTAAAGAGACCTATGATGAGAGTATTAAGTCAGTTCTGCTACTGAATGTGCTATATGATAGACCATATTCATAGATCCTACCGAGGTCTTTTAGATGTAATAAATATGAAATTTCAGCTAAGACCGAGAAGTCTCGGCACTTCCAAGGGACTGTTTTTAAAATAGGTGAAATTGATTTTGAAATAGGATGAAATTAATTAATTAATTAGACGAAAGTAAGCTTTGGAATGTAATAAAACAATGTCAGTTTATAAAATTAATTGTTTATGGTTGTTTTAAAAAACGAATATATTTTTCAAATATTAATTAATGAATGATTTCTGCATAATTAAAAGAGTTAAATTCTGATATATTTGATGCATTGATATATGTAAAGTAATTCTACACCATTACATTTCAATTAAATATCATTAATAGATGGAATATTATGACTAACTTTTCCATTACTCTATTATTAATAGGAATTTAAATCATTGTTAAAAGTTAAGCATTACAAAATGTTACATTAATTTTTCTTTTCTTCATTTTTCTCTCTGTCTTTTCTAAATTGTAAACACTTTTTAGTTATGTATTCATTCTTTTAAATTATTCTTTAAAAGAAAGAAAAGCAAATCATTTTTTTATGTTATTTTGGAATAAAATTTTCATTATTTTCCAAATGTTTAAATTATAATTATTGCATTACAAATATTAATTTGACATTTCCTTTCTTATCAGCAATATTTCATTGGGAATCTAAAAATAATTATTGTTGTTACACATTTGATTTGGATGCTTTCAAGCTTTCCCATGCACATACACACATACACATACACACATGCATACATACACACATACGTATACACACATACGTGTACACACATACACATACCCACATACACATACCTATATATACACACACACATATACGCACACAGACACATACACCACATATACATACCCACATACACATACGAACATATGTGTACACATACATACACATACACAGATACACAGACACACATACATATACACACAGACACGCACATACGCACATACACGTGCAGCACATGATTAAATGATTAATTCACGGTTGGCCCGACTTTAGATGAGTGTTTGAGGGTATCTCGAGGGAAGTGTAGGGGTGGAGGGTTGGTTGGCTTTCGGTTTACTTTGCGATTAAGTTTGAGTTTCGGTTTACTTTAAAACTGATAAGAAGTAAGTAAGTTTACTTTGAAACTGATAGGAAGTAAGTAAGCTTACTTTGAAACTGATAAGAAGTAGGTAAGTTTACTTACTATTCTGAAATGCTTCTGTTAGGTAATGAGAAAAATTTTGTCCGTTTTTCCATTTCTCCTTTCAGTTCATTGTGCAAATAAACAAATGAATGATGATTCCAGTGATATCTCTTTAATCTGTTTGTCAACAAAATTTAATAAATAATTTAGGATATGCTTGTGATTTGTAAACATAAGTTTCTTTGCTACTACAAAAGATAGACTTATTTGTTGTTATAAGATGTATGCAATCGAAATTATAATGATTTAGAATTTATTATTGCAAATTATAGTTTTTTTTTTGCACTAATTCATTAATTCATTGCTTATTTATGTTTCACATTTTTTTTTCTTCGCCTTCGTTTCTTTTTTTTTTTTTCACTTTGATATGATTGTTAATTGTTGTACAGAATTTGGCAACGAAATTATGCAGTTTTGCTCATTTGAATGATAATTATTACGATGATGACATCAAATCAGACTAATTTTACTTTGAAAGAGGACGAAAAATATGAGGTAATGCTAATCCTATTGTTTGTAAAAAATGACTGGTAAGTTTTGATGATAAGTATGGAATATACTTTATTTATTTGTATATGTATATCAGTGGATATTTATGTCTAAATATGTACTTATCCCTCTAAAAAATATTGAATCTGTTTGTATTTCGTATAAGTATTTAGTTTAGTCACTGATAATTTTTTTTAACCTTAACTAAAGTATTATAACATGTTACTAATATTATTATTGATACGAATTTTTTTCCCATTAATTTCTTGTGAAATTTTTAAAATCATTTTATTGCTAAATATAACCTTTCTTTTCAGTATAGTCTCAATCTATTCACAATTTCTCATATATCGTTTTCCTTAGTAACAACAGTTTTGTTAAGCAGCCGTGGCTGTATTGGACTAGAAAATTATCGATGACTAAACTAAAATCTGAATATCCAGAAATGATGTTAACAATGTTTACTAGAATTGTTTTATATTAATTCACTCCTACTAACAAGTTCTATATCATCTAAGTTAATTACTTTAAGCGTATTAGCCAATTTACTGGAAAACATAAACTACACATTAATGAATTTACATGAAAGTTTAACGACAAACACAGTACTTTTTTTTTTTCAGCTCACAACATTACGAACGACAACTATAACGAATAATGATAGAAATTTTCTCGTACCTTTGAAACCAGGTGTACAAAATATGCCAAAATTTAGTTACTCTGAAAATGTTGGAACAAAAAATGGTGGCATTCATTTCACCAATATAATGGCTGATTCACTGGAATATCTGAAAAAAATGCTTGGTTTAACACCGGATTGCCTTAATGGAGGCATGAAGACATTAAGGGGTAAGAGTCAGTCTTACATTATAGAAAATATTTATGGTAATAAAAATTTTTTAAGAAATTTATGATAGCAAAAGTTTCTTCTGATGGTTATTTTTACGATTTTTCCTTATTTAAAAGTCCATAAGAAAATTATGGATTGAGCGTTACTGGATGGAATATAATTCTTAAGTCATACATCAGTCAAATAGCAGTTGGATAGAATTAAATTGACTATTAGATAATATTTGCCAAGATTGAGTGTTTTTAACTAGCAAACCTCAAGTTTCTAAAATTTCGATTAAGTCGTTTGAGTAGTTATATTTCATTGTATTGATTTATTTTTTAGGCGAGTGTATTTGTCCCAAATTCTACAGAGGTCATTTATGCGAAGAATTAGTTTGCGTCAATAATGGTACTTTAGTAAAAATACCTAAGCTTTTTCCAACGCAGTATACATGCAGGTTTGTAACTGTTTGTTGCTAAGAGGATAATATTCACATGAACCATGTAATTGGGATATTTCGAATGAAGTGTTTAACATGTGAAATTTGTGTAGACGAATAATTTATTGATTTAGTAACAAGATGAATAGCAGAATGAAGATGCAAAGATCAAAATAATAGTTAGAATCGAATTTTAAATACAAAGTTACAAAATACTTATCTCGGGGAACTATTTGCCCGAAAAAACAATAAATTTTCAGATGTCCCTATCCAGAATATATACATGGTCAGCACTGTGAACATGTTAAATGCTTAAATGGTGGTCGTCCGATGGATAACGGACACTGTAAATGCTTGGATTATTGGTATACAGGACAATTTTGTCAGGTTACTTTTGCTAGATCTTTTTTTTTTGAAATGAATTAGCGTTTGAACTTTTTTTTTCTCTCAAGTTCTGCATGCCGTATTTCTTGTTATTAGGCCAGTAAAAAAACGATAAATATTTCCTCCATTAAAAAATTACTAAAATATTTTTAATATAATTTTTATTACAGGAATATGCGGCATCATGGGGTGTTGTGCTTGGTCTGCCTTTATTATGCATTGTAATTATGATTATCTGTTGTGTTGTTTGTCGTCTGGATTTGTTCCCAAGAAAGCCTACTCATTCACGAAGTTATTTTTTAGGTTTTCTAAAGTTTAGTAGTTAAGGTTGGAATATTTGAAGTGATTAATATTGCCGATTACCAAAGTTTACTATAGAATTTCTAAATTTGTTGCGAAGTAAACTTTGAAATGAAGTCAACGAACTTCGTTCCGTATGTTACAGAGAATTCTATTTATATAGGGCGTCGAAGAACACCACTAAGTACAATTTGTGATGAGGGTACTACTAGTCATCGACGTCGTGGATTGGAGTTGAACAGAAGCAGTAATAGGACAGGAAATGAAATTTATCTACGAATGCAGGTACAGTTTTACAGAACATGAATAAATTATAATATAAAATTTGAATGCATAATTTTACGTCTAATATTTCCGTTGTTTGGCTTAAACAAATCCTTTATCAGCATTATCCGGTTGATTCGCAATACACTTAATAATATTAATTTAAGTGGTCTGTTTGTTGAACTACTATTTATCAAAACATAATGCATTTCTATTATTCATTCATATTTTAGGAGAATTTACTAAATGATAATGGTGGTGAATCTTTGGCAGCAAGGCCGCACAATTATTTTCTGTCATCATATATTGTTCATCTTAATTCAGTGCCAGTTATGGATCCTAATTTAACAACTGATGCAAATTCGTCAAAGCCTTTCGATCCACCGCCCTCTTATGAAGAGGTATGTTACCTGTTTACAAAGCAAAATTATATTTTGTTGCTTTTGCTGTTTTTTATACCGAAGTTTAAAATTTGTAATATAAGAATTGTGTAAATATCTGAGCGTTTATTAAAGAGAGTTCCAGTTTAAAAAGTATACTAATCCTTTTTGGAAACACATACCATTTTTTTCCCTAGTTGCTTCAGTTTTTTTTAAAAAATAAAGTCCTTCGCATGTTTCTACTGTGTTATTTTTCCTTCCTGAAATTGTATCTTTTATGCATCTGATGTCAATTAGTTTAGATAATTCATAATCTATTTCAGGCAGTTGCAACATTTTCAACATTACAGCAACATGCTGACGCAGCAGTTCTTCCACCTCAATATTCGTCTTATCCGAATCAAATGCTACCACGTTCCCAGTTTTCTAATGCTTTTCGAAATAGCTAGAATCCTCAACATTTATCGCTTCTTTAGTTAGTGTGAATGTAGCATTTCTCATGTGTGATAACATTTTATTTTTATGTGTAATTATATGTGAAATGTCGATTATAATGTATTTTAAAAAATTGACAATTTTTTGCCTTTTTTCTATAAATTCTACTCATTCGTTTTTTTTTTTTTTTATTTATTTTTCTTTTGTTTACGACTAATTGCTATGATTTAAAGGGGGAATGGCAAATACGGAAATTTTTTATTGATTTTGATTTGTTTATCTTTGATTTATTACAGAATTGACTAACCATTTTGGAATTGTTGCTTCTGTCATAAATGTAAATAATATTTTATGAGGGATATTTGAAACAGTCGACGTTTTCATAACTCTAAATTCGTTAATTCTTTTTTTTTTTGATGTCATCCAGTTTTGCTTCCTGTAGAATAGCTTACTTTAGCTATCCTTTGTTACCATTCTTGTGTTTGTTACCAGAAAATGGTACAAAAATTCTTTTTAAATTTTTCTAATTTGACAAAATTTTGTGAATTTCACTTTCATTTTGAATAGTATAGTATTATTTAGCTAATTTTATTTGATTTTACTATCAAGAAATGAACTAGATATTTTTAACATGGAAAAGATTTTTCTTAATCATTGTTTTTCTCTGATTCATTTCTTCCTTTCTTCTTCAAATCTTATCAGATTTAGATTGTTTAAATGAATTGCTTAATTGATCAGATAAAATGTTTACACTGAAAAATTTTCGATCAAACAGATTTTTTTTTTTCTTTAAATGATTTTAATTCATCCAACATATACATAATATATTCATTGCAATGGAATATGTATTTATCAGGTTAAGACTGTGGTAAAAAAAAATGATGAATAATTATTTTTAGAGATTTAAAGAATTTTAAAGACTTTTGCATCCATTAGCTATAATACTTCATCTGTGGATCTGTCATCATTTGTGGGCAGAGTAATGTCAGAATTATTTCTTAAATATGCATGAGCATTACTTCAGTGCTTCTTAAGTTTCTAGTCATGGTAAAATATGTGAGTATTCATTTAATATTAGTAGTTAATTTCAAATTTTCATATAATCTCAAGTTTTGTCGCGAAACATTCAAAATATTTTTTGTTGTGCTTTGAATTTTCTCGTTTGTAAGTTGAAAAAAGTTGATGTTAATTTTTAAATCTTGAATTCTCTCGATCCCATTATTTTAGTATTAGAATGAAGCCTTCAAAAAAAAAAAACTCATTCTATTTCTATTTAGGATTATATGAGGTTGCATATAATTATTGTTTAAGTAATTTTGTTGCTGCTGTCGATGAATTTATGATAAATTAAAAATGCCGTTATATGAAATTACTTTAATTACTCGATCATTGGCGAAGGTTAACTTTTCTTCTTTCATTTTGATACTAAAATTCTTTATTTTCATTATTTCAAAATTAGTTTCAAATTTAACAATAAATTGCATTTGTATTTTGATATTTTTATAGCCAGAATTATTTACTACAATACGTCGTGCTGCAAAAGTTTTACTTGATAATGGTGCTATTATTGAAAAATTGGAAAGTCTTGGACATCGTGATCTACCATTTAGGCGAGTGAGAAAACAAACAACGGAACATATATATACATCAAAGTAAGTAATGTTATTATAATTTTATTATAAATAAAATGAAAGTAATTATGATTGGGAAAATGTTTTAAATTTTCGTTTTGTATTCCAGCTATTTCCTAATTAAAGCATTCATGCCACGTGAAGTACGTGACACAACAAATACAATATTACGCAACGATCTCGACTTAGTCCACGTTTGTTACATGCACGAAAAGCCGAAAGAGCCAATTTATTGTAATCTAGAAGAACTTTTAAAACCTCCAGCAGAAAGGTAATCTAATTTGATTCCTTATCGAATTAAAAATTTAGATTCTGGCGATATCAGTTTGCTATCTTCTTTGTGAAAAATAACACATTTATTTTACAAACAAAAGAATGAATATTAATTGTAAAAAAGATGATTAATGCGGTGTTAAATACTATTATATCAACATGTTTACATAAAAACGAATGAGAAAATAGTTTGAAAAACAATTAATAGTAGAAAAAAGAATGAAATTAACCCAACCAATTTTCTATTATATTTTTTTTTTTTCAGAGAATCGGTAAAAGCTCTGCGAGACAATCAAAAGTTAGGGCATTATACACGACAAATGATTTACAAGCGAACAGAAAAAGAATGGAAAGCTATTCCGAAATCTTATCCAATAGCAGAACCGGAAATTATTGGCAGACCTAAACCGCAAAAATATGAATAGCGTAAATAGATTTGAACAATGCATGAAAAAGATATACATTGTAAAATTAGTTTGTTGTTATTTCCTGATTTCCTTCAGCAGTCCAAATATCAGCAGTACTTTTTCCTTCAGACTTACTTGAAATGTATTCCGTTTTTTCCTGAATTTTATGTTATAGTTTTGTGTAGTGTAACATTTCTTGGATTTTATATTTAGGTTTATTATTTCGAAAATCTGATAAAATATGATTAATTTTATTGATGTGAACAAGAATAATTTGCATGCTAGATGCTTTTAAAATTTCTAAACAAATTTAAATTTTGGACACCATCGTACTAGAATGACATTTAAAATCCGAATTGTAAAATATTAGAAAATAATTTAATTTAGCGATTATGAAAAATTTACCTTAGTTATTGTTTCATTGCTATTCTCCTCCATTCTTTTCATTATTTCCATTGCTTCATTTTGCATCCTCTCCAGTTTCTCGAGAGTTACAGATTTCAGTGGAATGAGTTTCGGTTTACAAAAAACTGGACTAAGTTCTTCCTCACAAAATAGAACAGCATTTCTAGCACTTAGCACTTCTTTTAGTTCATTGCTCATTGCTATTTAATTTCGTCTTGTTATTGTCCTTTAAGTCTTCTGAAATTTACCACATCTTACTGGAATTATTCTACTCCTAATCTTTTTTATCTTTTTTTTTTCTGTATATCCCTAACTCTCATATATAACCTTTTTACAGAATATATACAAAATTTTAGGAAATAGTTATTGCATAATTTATTTGCTTAGAAAAAAGAAAACGAAAGACTATCAGTTATAAGTATTGTAGAAATTCAACAAATCTCTCAAGCAAAACTAAAAAAAAAAAAAAAATGATAATAACTTTTGCAGGCTTACACATTTGTCACATTATCGTTGCTATGGACAACAAATTCAACATCATTGCTTAACTGCTAAATTATGAATAAATCAATAAATCGATCAAAGATCCCATAAAATTATCACTTAGAAATACATGGTTAATGGCAAGGAAAAAACATAAATGAATTAAATTAGACAAAAATTCAACCTGATCAAATTATAATTTATATAAAACTCTCATTTATTAACATAGTAGAAGTAAATTAAAAAAAAAGTTCTCCTGGAATAATTTTTTTTTTTTTTAATTTAATAATATTAATTGTAATTGTTATCACAAATTGTGCGATTTATCATGATAAAATGATATTTCTAATTCTACAAGAAAATAATTCAAAATCAATTTGTCGATTTTATCATTTCTAATCCTACAAGAAAATACTTCAAAATCTATTAAATGTATTAAAATTAATATTAAAGATTATTTAATCAAAATGATAGAATGATAACCATTTACAATAATATATATCAGTAATAGAATAATAGCAACAATTTTAATTCTAATTTTAGTATTATTATATGTTGTGAAAATTATTTTAATAATCACTAAATTGAATGATTTAAAATTCACAATCCAAATGATTTGAAAATTTTCAATCAATTATATTATAGTATTATTAACTTCAATCAATCTTCCAGTTCATATAGTTATGGTTATCATAAAAGTTATTAATTATTTAATGGAAGTGATTATCGTTAAAATTTTCTAAAAATTTCAAAAATTTATAATTTTACTAAAAATGTAAAATTATTTTATTCAAAAATACAATGCGTTAAAACTTATTTAAACTTCTTTTTATTATTTTTTCTTCTTGGTTTACATCAAACATACATATTAAAGATTGAATTAAATTTCAAGCTTTCAAACTTTCATTTTTTTTTTTTTTGTTTCTTTTTCATTTGAACATTTTTTTTAATAAGATTTTGTTATAAAATCTGAACATACTATTATTTTACATAAAGAAAAAAACAAAAAACAAAACAATATAAAGTTTAGTGAAAATTTTTTAACAATTACATCTAATAATTATGAACTGCTATCATTAAGATTTTAAATTTTTTTTAAAAATTTATAATTACATTTAAATGGTGAACAAACATTTGATTTGAACAAATATTACAAATAACATTGATGGCTGCTATGTTTAGTGGAATTTAAATTTTCTATCTTTTTTTTTTACAAATGTAACAATTTAATTTTCCAGTTTAGGAATACAAACGTATCAATTACAGTTTTAAATTTAAATTCAAATACTGAAAAAGCTTCATCTACTACTTTATAGTTGCGATAGTAATTGATAAAATTTGAGATAAGATGAAATTAGATATACTAATTTTAACAGTACACATATGTATCAATTATAAATTTCAAATATTCCGCAACCTTCAAATACTACTTTGTAATAATTAATCACAATCCCAAATTTAAATTTAATATTTCTTCGCAAATTTCAAATATACTATTTCAATTGATTAAAATGTGTCTACTAAATATTATAACATCAATCACGTATACTGTTTAGGGTTAATTATTGAGATAGTTTTATGATTAATTGATAGCCTTCTTAACTTTTAATATGCTAATGAAGTGACTAAACTCTGTCTAATTTCATTCTCCAAAAATGTTTACATTTAATTCTGCTATAATTCAGAAATGACATATCATATCTTATCATATCATATCTTTGTATTGTTCCATCAACTGAATTTATAACCAAAAAATAACTTTCATTTGAGAATGTCATAAAAGTTATAATATATGTAAGTGCATTTCTTCCTCCT